TTTTCAAGTCCAAATTGTACATACAGGACAACCTCTGCATAGGAAGAACTGAAAACTCTTGAGGAAAAACTACTTTGACCACCATGCAATCTGCATATGTTTGTGTTCACACAGATTCAATCGTGTTGATTAATACATTATTCTCTGTCCAAAGTATGATGTCCACATCAGGACAGGAAGAAAGCAGGCGGGTTTGTTTCTGGCTTTGTGGCTTTTCTTCTTTTTTTTTTGGCTTTGTGTTTTTTATAGCTGCTGCTTTGGCTTTTTGTGGCTTTACCTTTTTGTTTTTTTGATAAAAATTAATGTGTACAGATATACACATACAGTTATTTGTATTTGAGCATCTTCTCGTATATTTTTCAAACAGCTGCATAAATCTGTGAAGGTGTTTCTCAGCATCGTTATTAGTACACGCTGGTTACGGAGAATATGGCTTCCACCTGGCAGAGTCACACGCGCACGTGACACACTAGTCATCCCTCCCAGCACGACTCTTGCCAACCAGACCTGCGGCTGCACATTTCTGAGGGAAGGGGAGTTTCAGTGCACAAAACCTGCCACCCCCGATCATCCGTCCTTACAGCCCCTTCCCGCCCCCTTCCTCCCCTCCTCTGGTCTAATAACGACTATGCATCCTTAATATATCAGTTCCAAAACAATCTTGCTTCCAGTTACAACACAGGTATGAACAGCAAGCCAATGGTGTACTGTTCTTCAAGGGGAAAGGGACCTTAATAAATAGCATTGTGTAAGTTTTTCTGTAGATAGCCAGGTCACCGGGAGAACCATGCTTTGCCTAATGTTTTGCTTTGCCTTGTTTTGTCTTGAATTTCAAATACAGCCTGGTCTTCTATAAGCACTGTTTTCTACGCTGGCGTAATGTTCTCTTACATGTTCTTCAGTGTGAAGAGCTCTGTGTGAAACTTGCACCCCCACGCATACATACAGCCCATTTTGTCTAGGAGTTAATTTGTCTTCTACATGACTGGTGTACAAAGAATGAACCAGGGGCTTTAAAATGATATTAATAAGACAACATTCATTTTTTTCTCTCCAGCATACATTTTTAAAAGCCTTCATTTTCTTCACAGCATGATAAATGCAGAGGTACGTTTCTGCACCTAGGCTGACTTCTGGTTTTGTTTCAGTGGTGAAACCAACTGTGGGTAGTCCTGGGGGATGGGCAGTTACAGTTCCTGTTCCCTGAAGCCACTCTGAAAATTCTAAGTAACCTCTGACCATCACCTACAGGTGTCCACCACCAGGCCCTGCTGAGCACGGATCGATGCGTCATTTTCTGATGAAAGAATAAATATTACCATTAAAATGGCCAACTGATGACACATAGAAGAAAGACACCTCAAATATCACCAGTAACTGTCTTCACATCCATCTTGACGTTCACCACCAAAAAGCAATGACACACAGTTTCTCCTTGTCCCTCAAACAAGACTTTTCTACATGTTCACTCATCCGTTTACCCTGCTACACATGCAAACCTGGCGTGCGCCAGAGATCACTGAATCGCTGTTCTCAGGGACGCCAGCTCAGAACGCTCTACACACTCAGCTGAAGAAGCACCCATTCAATGTGAGGTTCAGCTGCTTGCTCAAAAAATAAAGTGAACAGATAAGAGCCATACGGAAAAGTGCTGCACGAGAAGGAGGGTCACTGCTCACAGTCAGAGCGGCACACAGCCTTGCGATGCGCTTCCTCTGCAAGAGCTCACTGCTCTGCCCATGCGCAAGCAGGTCTCCACTCTGCCTTAAATGTCTATTTCAGCATTTATCTATTGTCTATTTCACATTTCTCTGACTACAATTTCTGTCTCACTCCTTCCACAGGACCTGAGTAACTAGGAAATATATTGAGCGCTATTTATTTTTTAAATTTTATTTTTCTACTTATTATATTTAACACAAATTAATTTTAAGGAGAACAGCTTTAAAAACTCAGGTGATTCTTCGGCAATCAATTAAAGCAGAGCCAGTTTCAGAACACTTGAACTTTTTTCCATTTACACTTAACTGTAAAATAAGTTCAGAAAGAAGTTTAAGATCGGTACAACACAGGTGCGGTAACATTACACATCTTGATTCATCTACTCAACCAGCAAAATTTTCCTAATAAAGCGCAAAATCACTTGACGCAATGCTGGTTTAGTCAATGAACTCCAAATTACTATTTCTACTATCCTTCAATTTTAGCTTAGTAATACTAATACCCCTGAGTTATATGCAGAATGGAAAGATTACTCCAAGAATTTATAACATTACCAATACTTAATGTGTCTTACATGTTCGGCAGAGTCATTCTACTCAATGATATACTGGGCTTCCTAAGCACCATGCGAACATTCTAATAACTGTGTTACGTTCCACAGAGCAAAATGCCAGAGTTCCATGTGCAACAGCACATTTTAGGGCAGTCTACCTTTAGAATCCTCAGGGAATTCTGGAATGAGTGTGCACAACTATATTGCTACAAATCAAAAGTTTACAATACTAAGAATGAAGCACTATTATGAATTATGATTAGACAATTACTGTTATGATTTGTGTTTCAATGTTCCCTTAAAGCCTCATGCCATCATAGATGGGGCTTTTACAGAGGTGGCTGGATCTACAGTGTGTGACTGATTCATGGTGCAAAGCCAGGGTCAAGGATGCTAGGATTTAGGGCATGAGTGCTACCTGCCCTAAGTAGCCTGGCTAAGATATCAAGGATAGAAAGAGCTGTGGTCATTTGCTTGCTTGCTTTGCTTACTTGCTTTTGCTAGCTTCTGCCTGTCATTAACTGTTTCTCCTTTGTGTGGTTCGTCTGCAGAGACACCCTGCCTTGCTGCCAGCTGATTATGGGCTGTGACTTAACCTCATAACCGCTAATCATGAGATAATTAAACCTTCCCTCTCTTAACTTCTGGGTGTTGGGTATTTTGTCTTAGCAATAAGAAAAATAACTAAGACAATTACCTAACATAAGCTTTGCATTAAAAATGCTGGCCAAAGAACACCATCAGAAAATGTGAATTAGATTATAGTAAAATCTAACTAACTAACAAATTCTACATTATGTTTGAATTTAGGAAAGAATGAAAAAACTCACACAGACACCTAAGACAAAGACATAAACATGAAGAATTTATAGAGTTGCCTTATGATCAGCCAACATTACATGATCTATCACTGTCTATGAAAACCCATACACAATCAACTTCCAGAAAAGTCTCCTTGAAATGCTTCATAAAAAGGCAGAACTATTAAAATTTGTAAATTAGTGGTAATTATAAAATATATATGAGTAGGAAGTGTTTCATGTCTCTATGGAAAATGTAGAAGTTGGATTCAAGTTTACCAGTTCTTACTACATGCAACTAAAACGTTGCTTGTACTCAAAGTCCTAGACCTAGAAGGTCCTGATACCCTATAAAGTAAAATTTAATGAACTGCCTGACGGAATCATCAAGAACCCCAGGGATAGTAAATTTGAATAAGTATTATACACACACATTAAAAAACCTTGTTTTATTAATCAGTAGTAGGACTACAAAGAGAAGAAAGTTTTTAAATAAACACCTGGTTTTCCATAACTTTGGTCATCATGAAAGCCTGTAAGAATAAACAACCATTATGATATTTCTTTACTATACTTCTAGAAAGTTGTGGCAATTCGAATTCTGGCTGGTGGTTCTGCACAGTCTTAAGAGTTTTAATATTAAAAGGCAACAAGATTCACCACCCTCAAGATGTATGTACAGTGTGGTCTAAGAATATTAAGTGATGAGCTCACACTTACACAATTAAGTATAAGTACGTTATAAGTATGTTAGAGTTCATCACTAATTTAGAAGCAAATTTTATATATGTAAAACATTTACAGCACTTAACCCTTAGCAAAGGTGTTTTTCTGTGTTTCCATTTAATAGTTTTATCTGTTCTGGCTATGGTTGTTTGGACAATATTTACAGTCTATATACCTAGATAACTAAATTTTCCATTATACAATCCAAATGAGTTGAAAGCTTAAGAGCATACAAAAACCTGCACACAAATATTTATAACACCTTTATACATAATTGCCAAAATTAGACATACAAATATTTATAACACCTTTATACATAATTGCCAAAATTAGACATAACGAAGATGCTCTTCAATAGATAAGTGAAGAAAAAACCATACTCTAACCATACCATGGAGTTTTTTTTTTTTTTTTTTGGTTTTGGTTTTTCTCCGGTACCGGGAACCGAAGTCACGACCTTGTGCTTGCCAGGCAGGCACTTTGCCGCTGAGCTAAATCCCCAGCCCCCATACCATGGAGTTTTTATTCAGTAACCTAAAGAAATGAGCAACCAAGCTATGAAAGACATAAAGGAACCTTAAACATATATTAGGTAAAAGAAGCCAGTCTGAAAAAGTTAGACTGTATGATATCTGCAGAAAGCAAACTACAGACACAGCCAAAGATCAACGGCCGCTGGGCTTCAGGAGGAGGGGACACTGGAAAGGGACCAGTCGGAGGTAGCACACAGGGCACTTTTCAGACGGGACATTGTTCTTCCTGTCACTGCCATGGTAGGTAGATGACATTATACATTTCTGAGCCAGAGAACCATAAAACAAAAACAGCGAACCCTAATACAACCTCTAGACCTCAGCTGATAACAAGGTACCAATTTTGGTTCAGCAGCTCTAACAAATATGCCACACTAATGCAAGATGTGAACTGGAGAAACTGCTTATAAGCAAGATTGGGTACAGCGAACTCTATTTTCTGAGCCATTTTCCTGTGAACTTGAAACTGCCCTAAAATGAAAGTCTATTAGAAAAATAATATTGTCTTATGAACTAGCCATCATCATAAGTTTATATAAAACTTAACAGGAAAAGTACATAAAGCGAATGCTATTCCCCTGAAAGGAAGCACGGTGACACGTGTGCCAACTCTGAGGCAAAACACAAATAGATGACCTCTGTTTACAAAATCGGAAACGTCCTTACCTGTCCTGTGACTGTTCTTCATACATCCTCTCCTTGCCTTCTTTGAAAAGTCTTATAGCTCGTTTTGACTTTTTCATTAGACTGTCAATGTAGATTTTAAAATACTCATTCTCGCTCAGTTGGGCGAGCTTTTGGTTGTCATCGTATTTACTCAAGATAAGTCGCAAGTGCTGGTACGTATCAGGTAAAATATCAAGTATATACGGTGGGCTATTTTTCAACTGGAGTTTGGGGTTTTGACACAGTCTTACCTAAAAACAAAGACAAAAATAAAGTATTTGTACATGAACCATACTATTTCCTTTCACAGCTAAATGAGAAACGAATGGAATTATGACTATGTCTTCATTTTTCATGACATATGATCGTAAGTTACTAACTCCAGATGACAAGTGCAAATATTCACATTTTTCTTAACATAAGCAACTCCCCCCGTCTTGTCTTCCTATGCCGGCTTTTCTGCCTCACGCCCGTATCTCAGTCCCAGACATCTGAACGGCCTCCTCCCCAGCGTCCCGCTGCGCAGAGCCCAGCAGAAGCCACGTGTGCTGGCCACTGTGTGCGGATCACAGTACGGCACTGCGGTTTTGAACAAAAATGAGGGAATGTCCTTTTTCTGCAGGCAACCGAAGCCTCACATTTAGACACTACTTTACTACACTGAACTCACAGTTCAAAGTTCTCTGTTTTGGCATATCGTTTCTGAACCCCCAGGAGGACAGAACGAAGAGGTGGAATTGTAACAACTGAGTTATTAAGCAGTTAAATGGTGTAGGGTCAGAATGAGTCTGTTCCACCTCGCCCCATGTCTAGAGGGCCCATAGCATGCAGAGCAGAACTGTTCCGCCCGTCCGTCAGGTGGTGCCCGATCGCTGGGGCGTTCGGGACTGCGCACAGAGCTGAAAATACCTCGCGCCAACAGAAAAAGGGCAATTCAACTAGCGCTGTGTTCACTTCTGGACGGTGGTGTGATCCGCCGAAAATAAACAAGCCCCGCTCCTTTTACCCCCACTACAAGAGCACCAAGAACCCAAGAATTAATTTTTTTTAAAATGAAATCTTCAGTATTTGCACAAGAGCAGACATTGTGTTAACATTGCACATTCGTACAACACACTAAATCTACACCTGAAAGTACATTTACTGAGGGGAGAGAAGTAAGCTTCTGGGTCATTCCCACAGATGGCCCTCTTCGAAAGCCCGCATCCTACATCCTTTTGTAAAAGTTTTAAGTGCAAGATATTTTAAACCCAACGAGTTGAAGTTTGTGCCCTTTTCCAGTATGACTTCCCTTTATGACACTTAACTTCCAAACTGTTGGGTGGTACTGCAGTGGCCAAGGTCATTTCTCACAGCAGGCTGATGGGAAGTTGAGTTGGAAATACTTTTTGTTTTGGTTTGGTTTGGGCTGGGTTGGGTTGGGTTTTGGTTTTTAAGACAGAATCTTGCTATGTAGCACAGACTGGCCTCAAACTCACAATGATCTTCCTGCCTCAGCCTCCTGAGTGCTGGGATTATAGGCCTAAGACAACTTGCCTGGCTTGAGAGATAAAATTCTTATATTGTGTTTAGCGGAAGTTACATGTGAGGCAGGCAGTCACTTCTGTAAATATTTAAATTAATGTCAGCAGTCTGAAATAAGCAAGGCACAGAAAGAAACACTACATGATCTCATTTATATAAAGAACTAAAATTTTTAAAAGTCAAGTAAGCAGAAACAAAAAGTAAAATACCAGGGCCAGGGAGGAAGTGGAGAGAATTAGGTGTAGGAGTACAAAGTTACAGTTAGGTAGGATAAACAAGTCTAAATATCTAATGTACAGCATGAGAATTATAGCTAGCAGTGTTGTGTTGTGCACTGAAATGTTGCTAGGAAGATGGATTTTAGGTGCTCCTGTCTCAAAACAAAAGGTAACAGACATGTTATTTCGTTTGAATATAATCATTTCACTATTTACAACTACATATATACAAATATCACACTGTATATCTTAAATATATACAATAAAAATTCTTTTAAAATTACAATTAAAGCCAGGGAAATAGCTCAGTGGCGTAAGTGCTTGCCTGGCAAGCCTGAGGTCATGAGTTCGATTGCCGGTACCAAAAACAACAACAACAACAAAAAATTACAATTAGAAAAAACAACATCTTCAGGGATACTTCAGACGCCATGGTGCGGAGCCAGAAGATCCTGTTTAAACAGCAGCATGAACGCATCTCACGGTGCTGAGCACTTGCAATGGATGCGGAGAACGGAGAAGAATCTAACATAAAATGTGCAGACCCCAAACCGAATCTAGACTATTTCACTGGAATTTGCAGATTTATCAGCTTTTTAAGATTTACACTTTGTAGTGAATTTTTCTCATTCTTGAGACAATTCACTTTCATACCATATTTTGCATTTGTACTTTTTTGTGTTCTCACAAAACATGGACCTATCCCTGGGTAATCGTAAAAGACCCTAGGACAAATGGAAAACAGCTGAAGTGTAATAGTCTCAAGGACCACAAATACAGTAAATTACACAAACAACAAATGAAACAAGAACACTTCTACTCACTACTTTTAAGAAATCACTGTAGCTTTCTGTGTGTGTGTGTGTGTGTGTGTGTGTGTGTGTGTGTGTGTGTGTTGGGGGTGTTGGGAGGGGATCTGGCTCAAATCACCAAGCGTCAGACTTTAAGACAACCAATTCTTACATTAAGCATGGTGTTACATCTTCTTCCGCTTTGCACACAGTGCCAAAAACAGAACTGCTTAGCACAGGGAACATAACTAATAAACATATAAAAGGTAAGCTGACTGACTGTGGGAAAAAATACACACACACACCACACACACGCACACACACAATTTTGTATAAATAGTTCAACTGCATCATTTCCTCTGTTTTCATAATTGAATTCAAATTGCTAACTTGAAAGTTTAGGCTTGGTTTAATTATTTTGATTTTCAAGCAACTTCTTGGAAAGAGAGGATGGCTTCTCATTTATAATATTTGATATTATAATAAATATCAAATATTTATAAAGTACAATTAAAAGCACTGATAAAGTTTTTCTCCTGTTTTTTATTTTTGTGACACATGGACATGCTCAGAGATGCTTATTCTGCCCTAAAGACTGATGAAGTTCCAACTGTCAATGATTTAAACAAATCCTGCCTGAAGTGTGACATGGTTTTACACCTCTTTCATGCAGGAGATACTCTCATGAGTACACAGAAATTTCAAGAACACTGCCACCAACTTCCTACAGTACGGTTTAATTTCAGGAACATGTCCAATGTCGTACAGGCTGATAAATTATTAACTTGTAGTTAAGGGACAAGGCAGTGTCAAATGCATTTCTTCCACTAGTGAATTTTTTAACCAATTCATAAAAAGTTTCTCTCAGGTTTTTTTTGTAATTCCATGTGGGACTGTATTACTTTATTGGGTAAGACTGCTTGAATAACTACTGTACACCAGGTACTGAGCTTAGTGCCAGGAAATTATAGATGACTAGAATATACTTCTTGCCTTACAGAGTCTGGCAGAAGAAACCTAGTTCTCTATAATTAACTTAAGAGTAATGTAATTCTTGCTCTAAGGGATCTTAGCAAAGATCCCATCCAATCCCCCCTTTTACAGTTAAGGAAACTAAGACCTACAAAGATTAAGAGACTATTAAAAAATCATTCCTCCAACACACAAAGCCTGCATCTTCTAAATCTCAGGCTGCCTTTCTAACTATATCACAATTTAATTAGAATTATGCATATAATTAATGGACCCTTCTAAACTCATTTCCATTTTAATTTTATTACATTTGCAAATATACATGAACTTCAGGACCCATTTCTTAATTCACAAAAGTTTCTAGTCAGGCACTGTGTCAGTAGAGGGGAATACGGAGAGAAATAAATCACAGACTTGCCCTCAAGGAGCTGCCTAGTCGGAAAGCCAGTGGCTTAAGGAAGTATTACAGGGTGATTTAGGGCTGCAAGGGAGGAGATTACAAAGTGCTGTAGGAGAAAAGTCGCATTTCACTCATATTCACAAGCGCTCCAATAAGAACATACCTAAAATTGCAAACAAAAATGTACCAGGCTAAGCAGTAAGCCCGCGGCAAGGCTGTGGATAAGCGGCACAGGAGACCTACATAAGCTCTGTAGGCTACACATTCAAAGCGCAGTGCACAACGCTGAGCTACTACGCACAGTTCATCGACTGGATTACTATTAAGCCCTATGATTTATGAGAGCTTCTGCCGAAAATGAATGACCTACACCAGCACTACGATTTCTAAGCAGGTCAAATTCAAATCCACTCAATAAATATTTATTGAGTATCTGCTATGCCCAAGGAACTGCAAAATCCAGGAAAATAAAAGGTGCTTTTCCAAAAATAGTATATTAAGGAGAAAAATCAAGGTAACAAGGTTGAAGTTCAGATTCAAATGCCTTCGACCACTGCTAGGAATAGCTACGTGCTCCCTAGAATGCAAGTTGGTCCCCACAGAGGAGCTGTCACAGAGAAATCAAGCTGCGGCCACGCTATACAACTGTGAACTTCTTAGGGCACTAATATACAACTCTTTTTTTTTTAACTAGTAGCCAAAACTGTACCAGAATTAGACTGAAAATTCCATTAGGGTCACTGACTCAAAGGGTTCTGAAGTCCTAAAGCGGATGGGGAAATCATGAAGAGCAGCTTCTTCATTCTGACATGATAATATAGTACTAAAAGCAAAGCCAAGCATGTACGGCTACTGCTCAGAACCCTGATGCTCAGACTTCAGAATCAGGAACTCTTCGTATCACAAGTGACTTTTGTACATAAATGTTACTCAAAAAATTTTAAGATGTTCTCTGTATACAAACTCTGCACTGTTTCAAATACATAAGAATGTATGTTTAACACATATATACTACACATGTATTTCAATAAATATATAACTATTCACACACATAGCCCGTAAGTACACACTCACACACACACACACACACACACACTCCACCATATCAAAGCAAAAGTATAGATATAAACACAGGATTTACTATTGCTATAAGAATTTTCAAAGCCATTAAAAATTCTTAGAATAACCTTGCATTTAAAGAGATTTCTGGCTATGCCTTAAAATTTCCAGCCAAAAGGTACTAAAGAAGTATTGTATCAATTAACACCTTCCTTGCAAAAAAGGTTCAAGCCAGTTCCTGAAATAATATGCAAGAAATTTTACAATACAAAATGGAAATTTTAACA